AGTTCCTCCGGGAAAATTCCCAGTAGGGGGATAGCAGGCTTGAATGGGATTTCCAGTCCTAGTTTTCTAAGGAGTCTCCACACTGATTTCCATAATGTTTGCACCAGTCTACACTCCCACCAACAGTGGAGAAGGGTTCCCCTTTCCCCACAGCCTCTCCAACATTTGTTGTTGGTTGATTTCTTTATGATAGGGGGCCTGGCCCTAGCTCAGTTGTCTAAGTGGCAGCTTCCGCAAAGCTGTCAGCCTCACGTTGCTGTAGTTCGAGCCCCACAACTCAAGCCAGCCAAACCTGCCCTGAAGGCATTCGGAGAAAAAAAAATTCTTTATGATAGCCAATCTTTCTGGGGTGAGATGGTATCTCAGTGTTGTTTTAATTTGCATTTCATGGATGGCTAGTGATGTGAAGCATTTTTTCATATATTTATTTATACTTATTGACTTGGTATGCTGAATCATCCTTGAAATTCCTTTGTTTAGGACAGGATCTTGTTATGTAGCCCAGGCTGGCCTCAGACTTGTGGCAATCCTCCTGCCTCAGACTCCTAAGTGCTGGGATTATGGTGTGTGTCACCACACCTGGTTTGAAGTTGTTTTAATCAAACATGTGTGTCTTGTGACACATGATGCTGGTGGGAGGAGCAGAGTTTCCCTTACATGGATTCCCCACACTTAGTAGATGTTTATCCACTTGGCTTTTGGTCTGCGTTGAGTCACGGAACCCTGAAAGTCATGACTGAGGTCAGAGCTAGCATCAGTAAGGCTCAGCGGTTTTGCCTCCTGATGACCCAAAAGAATGTGGCCAGTCTTCTCTTTAGGGAGGTGAGTATTTGTGGGAGGGGCCTTCGATTCTAGGACGGTGGGGTTCCTAACAAGCCTGTGCTTGCCTATGTCTTAGCTCTTGCCTGTAGACCAGAGCCCCCACATTTATTTACCAGACTGTGAGACAAGCTCTGCATGACGTGGTGTGCAAGAGGTCTGGTGTTGGGGGACATACAGCGGCTGAGCTGCTGAACTGCCACAAGTGCCCTGAAAAAGTGATACTTCTCACTTTGAGTTTCCTCACTGGTCAAATAATTTTAGAATTCCAGTCATCTCATGGGATGCCAGTAGATATTTAGCTACTGGTTCTCCATGAAAACAAACAAACCAACAAAAACCACATTTTGATATATAGTGCAGCTCAATGTGTATGGTGTAAATCTTCCCAAGAGGACTCATTTCTAACTACCAAGGTGATGTCAACCAGCTGACAAAATGAAAAGGGAAGTTGGCTAGAACCAAGATGAGCAACTGTAGCATGGTACCCCACTGAATGGTCTCGCTGTTTGCCCAGCCCTGAACCCAAGTCAATGGGACACATCATCCCTGTTCTAGAGGAGGGAACCTAGAAGAGAGGGAGGAGGCTCTGGGGCCCATGTGGTCACTGCACGCTCCATAGCACAGCCTGGGAGAGCCCCAGAGTGTGATGGGATGTCTTGTTCACCTTTTGGTGCATCCTCTGGAGGCTCATCATCGTCCATGTTGCCAGGGCTCTCTTGAGGGCTGGGGCCTGCCTCTTGTCACCACTCAGCTGCTTCCCTAAGAGGCCTGCTTCAAGCTGTGCGTCCTGTCCTGGAAGAGCCAGATCCCAGGCACTGGGATCATCCCTCTGTCCCAGTGAGCTATGGGGAGAGAGGGCTTTGGCAGGTATTGGACATGCATGGGCTTAACCCCAATTCTGTCAGGGAGAAGGAGCTATTCCCCAGCTCATCAGGGAGAGTGGTACAGCTCTATTCCTGAGAGCCCTGTCAAAAGGATGCCCACCCCTGACTTTGTGACTTAGGAGCTACTTGATTTCAGTTTCAACATTCCGTGACCTCATGCAGTGATTGTGATCCATGTGGGTGGACCTGGCAACAGTGGGCCTCCCGCCCTCCTGGTGGCTCTGGTGGCCAGTCATCTTTTCTCACGAGTGCTGGGTCCAAGTCCAGGCTAGGTTGTGAGTGTCTGGGTGCTGTGTTGGGACCTCTCAGTGAGGGTATATTTCTCTCTGAGTGAGGGCCAAGGCCAAGCCCCTGAATCAGTGACTGTGAAGAGCTGCCACCATGTTCATCTCTCAAGGTGGTTGTGGTTCAGGAACCAAGTATTTCAGTGATGGGTGAAGTCAGTTTTCTTCCACCCAGTTTTTTCTTTTTCTGTTTCCCCTTGGAAGAGCATTCTCAACCTTGGAGCCAAAGATCAAAAAGGAAAGTACGACAAACATATGTTCTATCACTACAGTTTTGGCAGCCAAAGCATCGCTCAATCCAAACTCCTGGGCTGCCTAAATCGAAACTCCTCAGCCATCATTCCTACACTTGGCTGTTCTCACATGTGGTGAAGTTGAAGTTCAGGGACAGCGTGCTGTCAAGAGAATCTGGAGGTGTGTTCCCACTCAATAAGCTTTTGGCACATCAACAGTCAGGTCAGTGACTGAAGGGCTTGGGGATGTGAAAATCTCTTTTCATCATTCAGAAGAGTGATGAAGATTTAGAAATTTGTGTAGGAGAAACATAGAACCAAAGAGCAAAAGAAAGATGTACATCTGAGATGTTATTCATTCCTTCAGGCATTCACTCTAAAAATACTGTTGGGTGCTTACTGTGTTTTGAGTCACTAGGACAGGCGCCCCTGCAGCATAAGGATGGATGCGGCACGATGAAGACAGGGACCTTTCCAAGGCAGTGCGACACAAGATACTGTAGATACTGACAGGGAGACCATAGGGGGAGGTCCTGGCCAGATAGTTTTGATGGTTCCTCTTCATATAAATGATGTGAATCACCCTAATTCAGCATGACAGCACTGTTCTGGTGTCCCCCTCCCTGTGGCCCCAAGGAATTAATACCAAGAAGGCTGGGGGATGACCAGCTCCTGTGGCTGGATGTGAGCCACAGAGGTCCTCAGTGATCTGGTTGGCCCCCTACTGGTGCAGCATGTACCAGCATCACTAAGAGGGAGAAAGTTAGGATAACTGGGGTGGCGAGAACCTGTGGTCCTAGCACCAGGTAGGCTGAGGCAGGAGAATGACCTTGAGTTCCAGGCCATCCTGGGCTACACACTGAGTTCAATGGATTTTTTTTTTTTTTTTTTTTTTTTTTTTTTTTTTGGAAAATTTTTTTTTTTTTTTTTTTTTTTTTTTGCTGGCTCAGGATGCCTTAAGGGCAGGTCTGGGAAGGCCTGAGGTTGCTGGGATTGAACCACAGTATCCTGAGTCTGACTGTTTTGCTTAAGCAGGCACTTAAACCACTGAGCTAATGGGCAGGCCCTCTATACACTGAGTTCAAAGCCAAGCTGAACTATATAGCAAGACCTTGTCTGAAAAAAGAGAGAAAGGAGGGATCATGGATATATTTTACCAATTTTTTCATTTTTTTCATTAACGTTCATTTTATTTTCCAGGATCCCTCACTGCATTGTTTGCTGTGTGTCTCAGTTACCCGTCTTTGGTTGCTGGGACAAATACTTGACACCCAAATTGAAGGAAGGAAATGTTTATTTAGCTCAAAGTTACTGGAGGTTTCAGTCCATATTCAGTTGGCTCCAAGGCAGCCTGGTACATGGCAGAGAACAACCTTTCATGGTGGTGGCAAAGAGCAAGAACGTAAGGGAGGGGTAGCAGCGGCTCAAGCAGCTAGCTTCTCTTTCTTCTTCACATTAAAATGCAAATTACCTGCCCCAGGGCAGGTGCAGCATCCACACCCACAGTAATCAATCACAAACTCCAGAAGCCACCCCATGACTGCACGAAGCTTTGAGGGGACACCTATGCACAAAGCATAACGTGGTGACTCTGTCACTCTCTTCCCACTCCGAGGCACTTCTCAGTCTTTCTTTCCTTGTCTTTCATGGCTTTGTCATTTTTCAGAGTAGTGGTTAGATTTTTCAGCGTGTTCCTCAATTTTATTCTTCTCTCAGGGCAATGGCTGCCCCGGCTCAGAAAAGTTTGCATGCAGGTGATGTATTTCAGGGTTGCTGAGGATAGGCCAAGAGTCACACCTTGTCCATGACTTGCTTTTCCAAGTAGGTTGTGCTGAGGGAGAGAAATGGCCCCTCACGTGAGTGCTGCCTGTGGCTGCTTTCACACGGCCCTGGCAGAGATGGGCACTTGTCACCTGGCACCAAACAGTGAAGGTCCTACTGCTTCAAAGGAGAGAAAAGATGGGGCTGGAGAGATGGCTCAGTGGTCTAAAGCACCTACTTGGAACAAGCTTGGCAAAGCACAGGGACTGTGGTTCGATCCCCCAGCACCACATGCCAGCCAGATGCGCCCCCTGGTGGGCTGAGCTGGCCACACACACACAATAAATAAATGT